ATTGTTTGTCTGAATATATTATGTGAAGTTTCTCGGTTATGCACAGGTTGCAGCGTTTTTTTTTTTTGGGGGGGGGGAGTAGCCGATGCTCTGTCGATGATAGACCATTTAATGTTGTAGGATGTGTTGCTATCTTTTAATTTCCATACGTATTTGGAGAGTACACATCGATGGAAACCATAAGCTAATAAGGTAATAGACATATATGCGTCCTTACATGCATTGCATGCGAACGCATATGATGACGATGATGATGATAATGATAACAATAACAATAATAACAACAACAATATCAACAATAATAATAAAAACGATAATAATAATAATAATAATAATAATAATAATAATAATAATAATAATAATAATAATAATAATAATAATAATGTACATCAATGTTATGTGCCACCTACTTATCTTGGCCTATTCTGAAAATGTCGTTCCCAATTACCATTTTAAACATTCTCGATCCGCCCCTGATTTGCCTATGCATCAACTTTGATGTTATGTATGATAGGCCTATATTCATTTGTTTCAACGACTAATATATAATTTGAAGAACACACGTGGACCTACAATGATATATATATATATATATGTATGTATATTATATATATTATATATATATTATATATATAATACAAAATATGGTTGTCAAGATCAGCAACGTATGTGCACAATGCGAATGCAGAGCATCATAACAGTAATAGAAGGGTTATGTCCATGGGCGTCGATCGTTGGGGACAGAGGGACACGTCCACCCCCTCCCCTCCAAAGGAGGGGGTGTCCCCTACTCCAAAGTAGGGGGACATCATATCAATTGCCCCCCCCCCACTTTTCACCAAGTTAAAAGCCCACTTTTCAAAGCGAGTAGAAAAAACAAACAATTACGAATGACCGTCATGAATTGTGTCTATTCGCTTGTGCTCTGTTCCAACTGCGGTGCGTATTTCTGGACCAAAACCAAGAAAAAAGAAAAAAAATAACGCAATTGTTACATTTTGTAACCATCTCAGTAACAACTCCATCGATTTTATGGGTTCTACGTTTATCATAGGCTAAATTTATTGTGAAAACAATGTACTGTACAGTTACTTGTTAAAATTGGAAGTGTGTAAACAGGCCAACATTTTTACAAACTCCAAAGTGCACAATTTCTACTATACACGATTTATTCCTTTTATATAATTAAGTCCCGTATATATAACTTTGTTTAATATTATCTGCATACCGATTCCTTTTTAATCCTAATTTCAAAAAATTATAGTTAGTCGAAATGGTAGGTCTATGCATTTCGACTATTTAAGTAGTGATACCACAAGTTTACGAACTCCGATGTTACGTTGACGCAGTCACCCTGACGTCATGATAATAATGAATTCATGTTTGTGAAATAAAAATGGTAACTAAGATTTTGTGTGCTTCCTACCTCCAGTGGTGGATTGAGACTCCCTTTTGGAAAAAAGGGGAAAAAAAGAGGGAAGGAAAAAGAAATAATTGATCGCCCCAAAACGCCTCAGAAGTTATTTCCAGGCGTCTATAGAAAACAAAAATTTCGCAGGGGCAAGCCCCTGGACCCTAAAACCTCAATGATGATAGTAGTAAAATCACTTTATTTGCCAAAACATTAAAATTAAATCAGTATAAAAATAGTCTCAATAATAAAATATATAGGCCTATAACACAAAAATGGCAAAGAAAGGAGCAAAACAGAATCCCGTGTGGATACTTTATTTATACTAAACTTAATACAGTATGGCAGTATAGGGCATAGATACGTACTCTCGCTGGGAGCCTAATTTTGGCAACATAATGACGACGGTGATGGTAGTGAATGCTCTGATGATGTTTCTGGTTCCGGTGGGTAAGCCGACCTCCTAAGAAATCCAAATGGAAGTATAACAGGAGGGGCTAGACAACGTTTAGAGTGATCCACCATCGTGGCGATGATGACGATTACTCTTTTATAATGACAACTTCTATTTCTACGTGCTATTTCTCATAATGATTTTATAAGTTTGTTAAATTAATAATTGTTATGTAAGCTGGTTGCCTGAATAATAGTTGTATGTTGAACTGTTATATTTCTACGTTACTCATGTGATGACATAATTATTTAGAACTTTGAACTTTGTAATGCTTGCCGATTTGGTAGCCATGTGGACCCAGAAAATATCCCGAGTCATTCAGGAAGCTGTAAGTATAATATAGACTTTCACCGGAATATTTTTTCAAGATTACATTGTTGATAATTGTCAAGTCAGTGCTCACGCTTTGCGAGGAAGTTCAACGAAATTGTTAATAGATAGATATTCGATGGCTATTACATAAAGAACCCTGTTCCGATTTCCGTAATGGGCTTATGACGGGGTTTATGTGGGCTTGATAACAAGGTTATTGGTTTATACAAATCAGTTATTTTAAAAGTATTGTATAATCAAAAATAATGACATTGTTTTCTTAAGCACGTAATGTTTGCAACGGCGCTCAGCATTCCATGTTCGTATCGTAATTCAAACGCCTACTATCTTCGAATGGCAAATATGCCTATATTTGTATTTAGAAACATCAGGGGTCCTCAGATGTTTTATGAGGCCAAATAAAGGTATAGACCTACTGCGAACCAGACTATATATACAATGTATGCTATTCACCCACCTTAGCCCCAACATGGTATGATACTTTGTTAGTTGACATTGGACAAAAAATAAGATCCTGCACTTTTTATTATAAGAACACACTTTATAAGAACACTGACGCTGAAATCTCTTAAAAATTAAGAACAAAATACGAAAAAATTTAGGCTGAGATAAAACGTCAAATGAGGTTTTTAATTTTTTTTTAAATATGAAAACCAATAAAGTCTTATTTGTACTTCATATTTAAAGGGGTTTTTTTTAAATTGTAATATTCATTTCTATGCCTATTTGTTAGAGTGGGGTTAACGCAGTGGTTGCAATGGACTCTCATCTGTTAGGCCGGGGTTCATGTCCCTCATTTTATCATTTCGCATTATGTTTTGGGAAGGCATTTTGGTTGTGTCTCTCTCTGGTGTATAAGTGCTGGTAGGTTCGAACACCAAACCGAGTCATGGACTGGACGCGGAATATTGTCATGTACAATTAAATGCAATTGGAATTTCCTAGATGAATATTAATCACAAACACTAGCTGCAACATCACGGAACTCCCCAGCTAGCTGAGCTCCAAATAATAATATAATCAGCCACTGTTCCCTGATATAATGCAATAAACTTATAAAGCGCATTGAAGTTAAAAAAAATAACTTGCTACCGGCGCTAAAAGAGATAAAATGAAAAACAGCTGCAGAGGAAAACCATTAAAAAAAAAACAAAAACAAAAAAAACAAAACCAGAAAACAGATTACAAAAAAAGGTACGTTTTAGTTGTTTGATCCAATGAATTAGGGTCAACTCGGCCCCAGTCAACTCGGCCTCAAGTCAGCTCGGCCCCAGTCAACTCGGCCCATCAACTGTGTACAATATTTACGAACAATAAGATTAACATTAGGCCTATGTGAATTTTTGTAAATTAGACAAACATAATAGCAAAAAATTAAATAAATAAATAAAAACCATGCTTTTAAGTTTTACGTTCACGGTACATTAATCAACAAGATCAGATGAATTATTCGATAACATATTATTATTATTATTATTATTATTAGGCCTATTATTAGGCCTATTATATCATCATTATCATTATCATTGTTATTTTGTAGTTATTAATATTACTATTATTATTATTATTATTATTATTATTATTATTATGACCTCATATAGGCCTACCGAAATATTGCAGAATTCTCCTTCTTCAGGGGCTGAATCGGCCTATGCCGGGGCCTATGCCTCCCATTAACTGCCGGCGTAATGAGAAACGCGTGCCTATATGGAGGTTTTGCTTGACATGAGCTAAAACCTGCACAATTATTATTATTATCATTATATGTATCAGTATAATCAGTAACTGCAAAATCGTATTATTATTATTACTATCATCAGCAGCATGATCGTTATTATTATCATATTATTATTTAAAAACGTATTCCAATATTAAACTAACACCATGAATAAAGTACCAGGGTCTAGGCTATTATCGCAATAAATAAAATAATTCATTCTTGTAAGCAAGAACAAACATTTTAAGTTTTGCTGGTTTCATGTATTCTTCGTGGGCTATAAAAATATTAAAAATCAATATTTGAGGACCCTTGGAACATTTTATTGTCGAATCTCGAACCCCGCCCCTATGATGTGTTCGAAGGCATTAGGCCGGGGCGCGTAGGAGGCCCCTATTTTCCTTGCATAGCCTACATGCTATGATAATAAATATATTGTTACATATGAGGATCGTGAATTAAACGATTAGCATGTAAACGAATGTAAATAATACTTACTAGTTATGGCTTAGGCCTAAGTTTAAGTGCAATAGGATCAACCCTACAGTAAGTACTTTGACCTGCTGTACAGTATTTTCATTTTGTAAACTTTGGGGTCGTGGTTATAGCTTGGTCATCCTAGGTGGCGCTCCATCCATTGATAATAGGACAAATGGCGGGTGACACGATTTCAACATCAACATCAACATACGTTTATGAATTGCGAAGAGTAGGATCTAAAGCCACATGTGCAAATGTAAAAGACGTCTTTAGGTAGTTAATGCATTTACTTCCAGATTGATCGTATTATTATTGAAATATTGCTTTGGATTATGCTAGCTGGCGACTTCATACAAGTTGTGACAATCAATGTCAAAATCCCAGGAGGAGGAGAGTAGTAGTAGTAGTACATTATGTTGTGGTGGTGGGAAAAACCATCTTTCTCTCTCTAGCTAGGGCCGCCTAGCCTTCGGCATAATGGTAGGCATGAGCATGCCATCTGTGCCTTAGCTGGGTCTATCTACAGTGGGTACTGTATATCGAGTTATATGTCTAGGCCTATGGCATAGGCCTATGCACGGTACTACTATTCTAGGGCCTGCTAGCCAAGTAGTAGTAGTAGGCCTAGGAGGCGCTCAACTCGGCCCCAGTCAGCTCGGCCCCAAGTCAACTCGGCGCCAAGTTAACTCGGCCCCAAGTTAACTCGATCCCAATTTTACTGTATACGAAATAATTATCGAAAGAAATTGGAATGCAAAGTTAAAATAACTGTTTTAAATCGTTGCCCTTGTTACTCTTTTTTCATTTACAATAATAAAACCAGCATTAATAAAAATAATATTAAATAATATTAATAAAAAGGCATAACATAAAAACTAATGATAATTACTATATGAATAATAATACTGATTTATAGGCATATTAAATGTACATTATATATATATATATACACTAGGTATATTTAAACATACTGAAATTCAATAAATTTTTTCTACTTGTCCATATATGGTTTAGATTCTACCTATTATATAATGATTTATATACATATGTATATGAAAATATATATATATATATATTAAAATTATATACATGTAATGTACATATTCATATAATGTATTTTTAAAATGTATATTAGCATCATATATATATATATATATATATATATATATATATATATATATGCCTACATATGGTACCTAAGTATAGGTCGAAATATTTGTTTTCTCTATTATAAAGTGTTTCTAAAGTCCATACATATATATGCTATTCGTTTCTTATTATTTCTTATACACAAAGACGGTTTTCGATTTTATCTATTACAGTATATCATAATTGATACACATATATTTATATATATATATATAATAATAATAATTTTGGCTTATATAGCGCATTATGCTAAAGCCTCAATGCGCTTAACAGTAAAAATAAAATTCGGGAAAAAAAATTACGAAAAATACAAGCTAAAAAGGTGAGTTTTTAAAGCTGCCTTAAAATCATCAATGGAAGTTGCCTGTCGGATTGTAATAGGCAGAGCATTCCAAAGAAAGACAGAAGCCCAAGAAAAAGAA